ACATTTGAGATTTACTCTTAGCAACTTTCAGGTATGCAATAGGGTTGTCATCAATTAGATCCCCAGAACTTAGTCTTACTGGAAGTTTTTACCCTTTGATCAACATCTCTACACTTTCTCCAGCCCCTATCCCTCAGCCCCTGGTAACCACCATACTCTGTTTCTATGAGTTTGCCTATTTCAGAGTCTACATGTAAGTGATACCATGCAGTATTTGTCTTTCTCTGTGTCTGACTTAGTTTGCTTAGCATAACTGATGCAGACACCAGCCTACAGTGTCCATGTCACTATGGATGAAATGAGACATTCACACAGACGACCGAGTCTGGTGGAGGAAAAGGGACAGCATGGCATTTCTCTCAAGGGGAGCAAAAGCCTTGGCCCTTGCCATGATTGGCCTTAATTGGGTTTCTCAGCACATTTCATGATGGTCCTCATTTACTGTGCGCAGGTTCGCTTTAAGTGGTTACCTTTTACAGAAAACAAAGGAGCCAATGCTGCTAATCACATCACTGGAAGAGGGATATTTGCAAATGAAAAGGCAAAAGTGGTTGAACCAGTTGCATTCATCTTTGGAAGGTTTAGCATGGATTTTGGGAAATTACTTCGAAGTAAATGTCCTCAATTCAGGGTAAGGGAGTTTTTAGCAAGAGCAAGACTTAGAGTGGCCTAGGCACATTGCAGGCCTGATTACCCATGAGAGAACCTATCTGTGGGCGTGGGTCCTTTGCATCTGCGAGTGGGAGCTGGGCTCACACCATGCAGAATGGTCTCCTACAATAACGTCCTTGATGTCCATCCTTGTCCCACCTTACACTGAGGATAATTTTATTGTTCAGTCAGCCCAACTAAACAGTGGTAGCCACAATATTATTATAGCAGCATTGCTGTTAGTGCTTGGAGTACCTCTGTGACTGTGACAATGACAGTCACTCTCCAGTGAGCTGGTGTTGAAAAAGGACCAATTTTTACCTCTAGACTTGTTCAGAGCTTGTAGTTTTAAGATCAGGATTTGTTCTGCAAACTGTCCAACCCAAGTTACAATTTTCATTGCCATGTCATTCAGGTAGATTTGTTCTGTGGTTACACCCTGGATGTTCAAATTCCTGCCAACTGCCATAAAAATTGGGTGTTTAGGTACAAGAAGATGGATGGATTGGTGTTGAGAGGGATTGTAGTGAAATGCCGGACTAATGGCTTGTGGTGTACCTCACATATGAACAACACTGCTGAGTTCAGTAGTTTCATTTTCTTTCTTTAAAAAAAAATAATTTATTGGGTTAACATTGGTTGATAACATTATGTAAATTTTAGGTACAAGTTTATAATGCAACATTGTATGCTTCCCACCCAATTTCATATTTTTGTTAGTGACCCTAGAGAATAAAGATATAAAATGCATTTTGTGAGGTGCTGATGATTTTTATCTGCTTGCCCAAATCTTGGGTTTCACTGCTCTCATTTATTTTATTACTTGATGTAATTGTCTAGTTATGAACTTTTCAAATTTTATTGTGAATGTAGGAGAATTCACAACAGAATAATAACTTTTAGACAAATTATCTATAAATTAAGATTATAATTTTATAATGTATAATTTTTCTGTATGCTGAAATTAAAATTCTCCATATATGTACATTTCTATGTAAATTATAACTTTATAGTTTATAATTTCTGCATAAAATTTTTCTCCAAGAATGTTTGTATTTTATTTACTTATAAGTGAATTTTCTTTCTGTACTTGTTTTCATACTTTTCAGAGGAGTTAAAATTGTTAGTTGGTATATTTTATTATCTTCAAAATAAGATGAGAAAAATCTAATTTTGAACTCTTGTACATTTGGCTTTAAATTCCTTCATGTAAGTGCTTAGGGATTTAGTATCCACAGCTCACACATAGGTAATCAACCTTTTAAAAATATTTAATCACTTTCATGGATCAATTTATTTATGATCATGAAGATTATATTTTATATGACAAATAATAATTTTCTTTGAAGAAAAAAGTTTTAACCCTAATCAGATTTCAGATTCATTCAGCCACCGTTGTGTGGTTCGGTGGCAAGAAAAGAGTATGTTTTTCTCATATTATAGCAGAAATTTAGTATTCAACATTAAATAGAATGTGGTGAAAGCAGCTATTTTGACAAAACAAAGTCTTTATATCAGGCTTTTAAAATTTCAGCAGAATTTAAACAATATTTAGATAAAACAGTTAGTTATAAAGATGACTTTTAACAGGATCAGGCCACCCACAGTGTGGAGTTGAGAATATGGCATGCAAGCCACCCAGTGAGACTGAGGTAATTTTTTCACCTTTGCTTAAAGTATAGTCACTAGACCAGATAATGTAGAAATTTTTTATGTGTAGTGATCAAACAGTTGAAAAGTTTATTCTTTCCCTGTTTCTTGTGCCTAATTAAAAATAATTCATAAGTTGAAAAAGTTTAACAATTTTTTGACCACAGTAAATTTCACTTTAGATAAAACAACTCTTTCATTACAGTAATTCATATAGTTTGAGGTCCTTTAGGTTAAAAATATATAAAATGTCTAGTTTGTGTATAATATTATAAGAATTAGCTGATACAAGAAACATTCATTAATGATATATTTAATGTTAAATATGTCAGGTTAAATATAAAGGTTTGCCATTTTAATGCTTAATATAATTTTTTGTGCCTGGTACACAAAGAGACAATTTTACCAAAAAATAGGATTGTAGTAAAATATTTCTGTTGAACAACTTTTCTGAAAAGTGTTTTCCTTGTTTTGGGTATTACCACATATGTAGATATGGAATTCAGGGAATTTAACTAGTGTGTGTTTGCACATATGTATATGTGTGTGTTTTAACTTACCTGAATTGTGCAGTAACCTAAGGGCCCATGATTGCTATGAAATTTAAAAGAGTGGCTAAAAATAAATGTATGTTCACATGAGAAAATCTGTGTGGGCCTGGTAAATATGCTTATTTTTATAATATATTTTATTGATTATGCTATTACAGTTGTCCCATTTTCCCCCTTGACTCCCCCCACCCGCACACCCCCTCCTAGCCACATCCCCCCCTTTAGTCATGTCCATGTGTCATACCCATAAGTTCTTTAGCTTCTACATTTCCCATACTATTCTTACCCTCCCCCTATCTATTTTCAACCTACCATCTATGCTACTTATTCTCTGTACCTTTTCCCCTCTCTCCTCCTCCCACTCCCCTGTTGCTAACCCTCCATGTGATCTCCATTTCTCTGATTCTGTTCCTGTTCTAGTTGTTTGCTTAGTTTCTTTTGGTTTTGCTTTAGGTGTGGTTGTTAATAATTGTGAGTTTGCTGTCCTTTTACTATACATGTTTTTTCTTTATCTTCTTTTCTTAGATAAGTCCCTTTAACATTTCATAAAATAAGGGCTTGGTGATGATGAACTCCTTTAACTTGACCTTATCTGAGAAGCACTTTATCTCCCCTTCCATTCTAAATGAAAGCTTTGCTGGATAGAGCAATCTGGGATATAGGTCCTTGTCTTTCATGACTTGGAATACTTCTTTCTAGCCCCTTCTTGCCTGCAAGGTCTCTTTGGAGAAATCAGCTGACAGTCTGATGGGAACTCCTTTGTAGGTTACTGCCCCCTTATCTCTTGCTGCTTCTAGGGTTCTCTCCTTCATTTTTACCTTGGCTAATGTAATTATGATATGCCTTGGTGTGTTTCTTCTTGGGTCCAACTTTGGGGCTCTCTGAGCTTCCTGGATTTCCTGGAAGTCTATTTCCTTTGCCAGAATGGGGAAGTTCTCCTTTATTATATTTGTTCAAATACGTGCTCAATCTTTTGCTTTTACTCTTCCCCTTCTGGTACCCCTATAATTCGGATGTTGGAACGTTTAAAGATGTCCTGGAGGTTCCTAAGCTTCTCCTCATTTTTTTTTGAATTCTTATTTCTTCATTCTTTCCTGTTTGGTTGTTTTTTTCTTCCTTCTGGACCACTCTATTGTTTTGAGTCCCAGTTTCCATCCCATCACTATTGGTTCTCCGTGCATCTTCCTTCATCTCTTTTATGGTAACCTGCATTTTTTCATGTAATTTGCACCCAAAATCAACCAATTCTGCGAGCTTCCTGATTACCAGTGTTTTGAACTGTGCATCTGATAGATTGGCAATCTTTTGGTCGCTCAAAAGGATGAGCCCTGGGGCAATGATCTGTTTTTCTGTTTGAGACATGTCTCTCTCTCTTTTTTTTTTTTTTTGGTCTTGTTGCTCCTGTTACGGTGAGGGACAGAGCCTTAGGTGTTCATCGGGGCTGGACATGCCAGTCACTAGATTGTGACGTTGTATGTGGGGGTGGGGTGGGAGGGAACAATGGCGGTAGCTCTATTCTCCTGGGACCTCAGTCCCTTCCCTGGGATCCTGGTTTGCGCGCTCTGCTCTGGTCCACAATTGCCGCCTCACTGGGTCCAACAACTGTGGCTTGCGCACTCAGGGCCCACCCGCTTTGATCTTGCGCGCCTCAGATGCCTTATGCGCTCCTGGTTGCCTTACGCGCCCAGATCTCCCTGTTCTCCCCACACAGGGACCCATGCTTGGCTGCTCCTCTTGGCCCCTCCTACCAGTCTGGATGAACGTGTCTACTTAAACTTCTTGGCTGTCCGACTTCCATTCAGATAAATTCTCTGTCAGTTCTGGGTGTTATTCTGCCTCTAAATTGTTCTAATCTTGGTTGTGCATGGAGGTACGGTGCGTCCACCTGTGCCTCCATCTTGCCGGAAGTCCCAATATGCTTATTTTTAATTGGATACCATTCTTAATATAAGAAAAGATTTAGCAGGCAAAATGGAAATTGTATTTTAACAAACCATGAAGGTCTCCCTTACCAGTAACTTTTGAAAAAGTCTATTGAGTTTTAGTGTAAAGCTACAATAGCAGTCTAACATTTTGTTTTCTTTTGTCCAGTTATACATTTTATGAATAAAATCAGCTTGTATCTTGGTTTGGTTGTTTTTTAAATAGGGGCAAGTAATACTGCAGACACATTATTTCAAGAAGTATTAGGTCGGAAGGACAAGGCAGATTCTACTAGAAATGCCCTCAATGTGCTCCAGCGATTTAAGTTTCTTTTCAACCTTCCTCTAAATATTGAAAGGAATATTCAAAAGGTAGAGTATATGTGTATGTACCTGTTGTTATAAATGTCATATATTTTAAAGAGTTGTTGAGATTTGTTTTTCTTAACCAAATGTCTTCATTATACTTTACTGACAGTCTCCAAAATGTTTTTTTTAAAGGGTGATTATGATGTGGTTATTAATGATTATGAAAAGGCCAAGTCACTCTTTGGGAAAACGGAGGTGCAAGTTTTCAAGAAATGTAAGATTTGTCTATTGCTTTTAGATCTTTTACAGGAAGAATGTGGGATGTATTCTACAAAGGATATTACATGCATTTTAGTTTTTGTTTATAGGGTGCTCTTTTAAAATGTAAAACAGTTACCTCAAAAATAACTATGGCTTTTCTTACTAAGATGAAGTGAAATGACCAACCACATTATAGAATAGGTTATTCTTAGACATTCTTTGCCAGTTATTAACCACGATGTTATTAAATATCTATTTTATTGGAAAGAATCAATGACAAATGTTTTATAGAGATGGAAACCTATATTTAATCTTTCCTCTTCAGAAACATTGCTGTATTTTTGAATTCTAACACTACATTAAGGTAAACTAAACAATTTTTGAAATAACCTCTAATGCCAGGTATAGAAATTAAAACAATAAGAAAAGCCTAGAAAATGCCCTGTGGTAATACCTTATCAACTAGGAGAAATATCACAGGGCTTTTTTGTTTTTAAGTCCTAACTCTTAAGGACTCAGAAAACTTTATTTTACTTTTATTGTAGTTAATTTACATTTAGTGAAATGCACAGACAAATGCACACACTCCTGTAGCCGACACTCCAGGTAGAACATTTTCATCATTCCAGAAAGTCCCCTTGAGTCTCTTCTCAGTCAACCCTCAAGCCAATACAGTCCTGCTTTCCATAACTTGATTGCAAATTTCCATTCTGTAAATCCTATATTTGTTTCTTTTTTTGAAAATAGATTATGCTGAAGTAGAAACACGGATTGAAGCTTTAAGAGAATTACTTCTGGACAAATTGCTTGAGACACCATCAACCTTACATGACCAAAAACGGTATATAAGGTAAACTCACTGCAACAATTTGCACAAATCACGTATATCTGTATAATACTGGATACTTTGTCTAACTCTTAGAGCTAATTCGTGAGAAGTCAGGAGATTGATGAAATTATGAAAGTGAAGACACTTAGAAGTACCTAGTGTAGGATACCAAAACTCTTTTGTATACTAATAATTTGTAAGTACTCACTTTTTTTTACTTATTATTTTTTAATTATTAAGTACTCATTCTTTAAGGGCAAGAAAACTCTGCCTGTTTGAGGAAAGGAAAAGTAGCATTGTTGCTTAGTCACCTCTTCCTCCTGCTCAGCAAGGGTTTACCTAACCTAGTGGGATGGTTTGGGTGTTGCACCTTGTAAGCATCCTCAGGCCACAAGGCAGGAACTCCCCATATGGTTGAGAGCACAACATTGTCACACACTGTATGGGAAATTCTTCATGACACAAAAGTGGGGCATGGCTCAACAGTAGGGAAAATTCTGAAAGGTTTTGGTCTTGAAAGAAAACTTTTTTAAAAATAGCAGTAATATGGAAAGTGGTGGACACACAGGGTATGATAAGATTTTCTTTAGAAAGAAGCAGTGTTGCATAATGGAAGCTAGCTGTTCACTTTGGGTGACCTGAGTTTTCCTTTTCAGTTTATTCATTTATGAAATGGACATGCTAACACAATCTATATCTCAGGGTACTTGCACGGGGAATCAAGAACACCTTTAAGAATTTAATATAGCACCAGGTGCATAATAAGTACTTAATACATTATATATATACATATATATACACATACACTATATATGTAGTGTTTATATCAGGATTTGGAGACACAGCATATAAGTTTAAGCTTTTATATCTATGATTTAAAAATATGAACTTTATTTCCTGCTGTCGTATTTTGAATATGACCTTTGTTCTCAGAATAAGCTATTATTTTTCAAACTTAATACCCTTCCTCTTTAATTAATGAAGTTTTTTTAATATTTGGTAGTCGATAATAGATTACAAACACTGAAAATAATTTCCAGGTATGGAAAGAGGGTCTAGTCTGAAAGCTGTTGCTTTGTTTGTACTTGTGGAGGGTCCATATTCAGATTTGTGTTCCTAGTGCTGCAAGATTACAGCAGGACTGTGAGCCATTGTCATTGTCAGCATATTTATGTTGCTGAACAGGAAAGGGAGAGAAGGCCTTCTCAATGGAGTAGAGAACACTGAAATTGATTACTGCCACTATCCCTCATCAGCAGTGTGCCCAGACATTATGCAAGATGCACTATGTTTATCATTTCTGACCCTCCCAGTCATCACTTAGGGGTATTTGTATTATACCCGTTATAGTGGTGAAGAGACTGAGCCTCACGTGTTATTGATTGTTCAGTACATGCAACTAGTAAGTAGTAGGACTCTGGTTTGCCTGCTTTCAGAGTCTATTTTGATTTTCTCTAAGCTACCTTCATAAGAAAGAATATATTTTTTAAAGACTTTAGTTATTAATTTTTAGAGGAAGAATGGGGAAGGGAAGGAGAAAGAGGGAGAAAAACACCAATGTGTTGTTGCCTCTTGCCCACCCCCAAATGGGGACCTGTACCGAAACCCAGGCATGTGCCCTGGCTAGGAATCAAACCGACGACTCTTTGGTTCACAGGCTGGTACTTAGTCCACTGAGCCACACCAGCCAGGGCAGTACTTTTTTTTTTTTAACTTACAGAGAGACATAGTTCTGGGATTGTTAATTGTCTTGTCCAGGATACAGTTGGCTAATGTTTCATCTGTGTTCTGCTGATTATTCTTCGTATTTATTTTATTGTTGATATTTATCCTATTAAATTTTCTGATAGTAATGTATTAAATCTTATTGAGTGTATGATATCTTTATATAATGAATTACTGTTATTAGATAACTAATGTGTAGTTCTTACAACTGTTTGTTTAACTTACTGGATAGCATTTAAAAAGTGGTAGATGTTAAAAAAGGTTCTTTTAAATGACCTATTTAAATGCTTTTTTTCCTGTTATTTTAAAGGAAAAAGTATTAAAAGGTCAATAAAAATGTATAGCAGTTCATTTATTTTTTAATCATTTTATTTTTGATGAGCTTTGAAAAAATACTAAGCAACTCTATTTTTCTTGTTTTAATTAAGTTTTTAGTTATTAATACATAGGAAAAGTAACATTACAACCAGGTCAAATATCTGTTGGACTTTGGTATCTATGATGATAGGTATGGTGAGTATCTTATTGGTATAGAGACAGCTTTCTCATTAATTAAAAATGCATCTTTGTTAACTCTCATAATTGAAGCTATGCATGGTATGAATGAAAATCAGGTTACTACTATGTTGTCTTTTATTGTTTTATTAAATTAAAAACTTTCTAATTATTTTCAGTCTCCTCATTGTTTTTGACCTTTTTTTTTTAGCAACAAGCAAAGTTTCATATACTTCTTTCCATGTCAGTGTGATACTGTCTCTGGTGACTGTTAAAAATCATGTCAGAATGTGACTAAAAATATTACTTAAAATTTAAACTATTATTACTATTTTTTTATTTTTTTTTATTTTATTTTAATCATTGTTCAAGTACAGTTTTCTCCCTTTTACTCCCATTCCAGCCCACCCACCCATCCCTCCCCACTTCCCTCCCATTACCACCCACCCCTAGTTTTTGTCCATGTGTCCTTTAAATTTGTTCCTGTAAGCTCTGGCTGGCATAGCTCAGTGGATTGAGCACGGGCTGCATACCAAACTGTCGCAGGTTCGATTCCCAGTCAGGCCACATGCCTGGGTTGCAGGCCACGGCCCCCAGCAACCACACATTAATGTTTCTCTCTCTCTCCCCCTCACTTCCCTCTCTAAAAAATAAATAAATAAAATCTTAAAAAAAAATTTGTTCCTGTAAACCCTACCCATTCCCTCCTGAAATTCCCTCCTCTCTCCCCTCTGGTCACTGTCAGTCTGTCCCCCATTTCAGTGTCTTTGTTTATATTTTGCTTGTTTCTTTGTTTTGTTGTTTAGGTTCCTGTTAAAGGTGATATCATGTGGTATTTGTCTTTCACTGCCTGGCTTGTTTCGCTTAGCATAATGCTTTCCAGCTCCATCCACGCTGTTGCAAAGGGTAGGAGCTCCTTCTTTCTTTCTGCTGCATAGAATTCCATTGTGTAAATGTACCATAGTTTTTTGATCCATTCATTTACTTATGGGTGTCTAGGTTGCTTCTAGCACCTAGCTATTGTAAATTGTGCTGCTATGAACATCAGGGTGCAAAGGTTCTTTTGTATTGGTGTTTTAGTGTTCTTAGGATTTAGTCCCAGCAGTGGAATTTCAGGGTCAAAAGGCAGATCCATTTTCAGTTTTCTGAGGAAGTTCCATACTGCTTTCCATAGTGGTTGTACCAGTCTGCATTCCCACCAACAGTGCACTAGGGTCCCCTTTTCTCCACAACCTCTCCAACACTTGTTGTTTGTTGCTTTGTTTATGAGGGCCATTCTGACTGGTGTGAAGTGGTATCTCATTGTGGTTTTAATTTGCATCTCTCTGATACATAGCCATATTGAACATCGTTTCATGTGTCTTTGGATTTTCTGTATGTCCTCCTTGGAGAAGTGTCTGTTCAAGTCCTTTGCCCATTTTTTAATTGGGTTCCTTGTCTTCTTAGAGTGGAGTTGTGTAAGTTCTTTATATATTTTGGAGATTAAACCCTTGTCTGAGGTGTCATTGGCAAATATGTTTTCCCATATAGTTGGTTCTCTTTTTGTTTTGATACTGTTTTCTTTAGCTGTGCAAAAGCTTTTTATTTTGATGAGGTCCCATTTGTTTATTCTTTCCTTTATGTCCCTTGCTCTAGGAGACATGTCAGTAAAAAAGTTTCTGTGTGAAATATCTGAGATTTTCCTACTTACGTTCTCTTCTAGGACTTTAATGGTGTCACGGTTTATATTTAAGTCTTTTATCCACCTTGAATTTATTTTTGTATAAAGTGTAAGTTGGTACTCGGGTTTCATTTTTTGCACGTGGCTGTCTAGTTCTCCCAACACCATTTGTTGAAGAGGATATTTTTATTCCATTTTATGTTGCTGCTTCCTTTGTCAAATATTAACTGACCGTAGAGACTTGGGTTTATTTCTGGGCTCTCTGTTCTGTTCCATTGGCCCATGTGCCTGTTTTTAATCCAGTACCAGGCTGTTTTGATTACAGTGGCCTTGTAGTATAGTTTAGTGTCAGGTATTGTGATCCCTCCTACTTTACTCTTCTTTCTCAAAATTGCAGAGCTAGTCGGGGTCGTTTATGGTTCCATATAAATTTTTGAAGTGTTTGTTTTATGTCTGTGAAATAAGCCATTGGTACTTTAATAGGTATTGCATTGAATGTGTAAATTACTTCGGGTAGTATGGACATTTTGATGATATTAATTCTTCCAATCCATGAACACAGTATATGTTTCCGTATTCAATAGTTTAAAAATTAGAAAGAAGCAGCTTTTCTATATTTTACAACTAATACAAATCTGAGGATGTTATATGAGTGGAAGTGTTTTGAGAAAGTGTTGAAGGAGTATTTTGGTGGCAAAACAAACCTACCTAAGGAGAATAATAAGACCAAGTCTCCCTGGGAAGAGAGGATAAAATCACATGTTTTATTGAGAAGTGACACAACATACTATTTGCTATATTTATCTTCAAGTGGATAAAAGAGGGAAGTCTTGTGAGAAAGGTAGAATCAGATTGGGTTTTGAAAGCTTCGAAATGAATTATTTATGCCAAGCTAAATGTAATTTGTTAGACTGAGGTTTCTTCTAGGGATACTATTAACTGATTTGTTACTGTTGTACAGACACAGCTTATTTGTAGCCTGTAAATAGAGAGTCACAGGGAGGAAGAGAAGGGCCAGCTCTCAGGGCTATTTCTAGGGCAGTGTGAGCCAAGCTGTTTTAAGGGGCCCTTTTGCAAGACAAGCAAATGCCCAGTTCTTCTCAGAAACCAGGTTGTCTTCATTAGCCTGGACAGTCAAGGTCAGGATGGATAGTTCCCAAATGTGATGTGAGATTTCTTCTCAACATTGTTTTTATTGCCAACTTACTACAAAATGTTTCTCCTTTAATTAGCTGCTAATTGAGATGTCTATGAGTAAGCAAATACCCAGCCCTAGAAACAGTGGGAGAGAAGCATCAGAGGATTCTCTGAGTTATTAACAGTTGGCTTAAGGTCACAGCTTCTAACCATTAATTAAAATTTACCATTAAATGAAAACCTTTAACAGACAGCTTATTATCTAAGAGTAATTTTAGGACAATAAATTCAGCTTTTGGAGTTGATTTAATTTGATTTAACATGTTACATTTATATATTTTGTGAGGGCTGAGCACCAAATCTTGAATGATATTTGACATAAATTCTTCAACTGAAATCTCTTTCAGTTTTCTATCTGGGTTTGGATATTTTCTGTACAAAGATCACTTTGAATATTTTAAGAACTATATTACAACTATGAAAAATGCCCATCTATGCTATCTTTTCTAGAAAAAACACTTTCTCAGTCATGGATTAAGACTTAGACTTTAGAGGTACAGAAGTGCTTGTTGTCACCTAATCTCTTTCAGTTAACCCTTGTTTAGATTGTCTAGAAAACAGTGTCACTGTGCCATCTAGTGGCCATGTTTTAGACCAGAAAGGAATTAAAAAAACCTGATATCAAAAATAATATTCACCAAGTGTTTTGTGCTGCCTCCCACCTGTGTTTTATGTAATTACAGAACTAAGTAGAAACACTCTGTGAATTAAATGTAAATACATATAAAGGTAAGTTCTCACTTAGCTTGTTGGATCATCATAAATTATCTTCTTTGTTGTCTTTATAAAAAGTCTTAGTTTGATAAAATACAGCTTTATTGTTATTTTACTTCATGAAAAGAAATTTGAATCTATTTCATTTAGAACTAAATATTAGAGACTAATCTGACAACTGTTTTACTAATTGATAAAACTTTAGGTTTTCTTAAAAAAGGTGATGGTTTTGAAATACGTTAGCTTTTGTTTTATCCTTCTTTATGGCTGTGTAGAGGAAGCCTACTTGGTCAGCCTTGGCCTTGCTTTTTCAGGTACCTGTCTGATCTTCATGCACCTGGTGACCCTGCTTGGCAGTGTATTGGAGCTCAACACAGATGGATCCTTCAGCTTATGCACAGCTGCAAAGAAGGCTATATACAAGATCTGAAAGGCAAGGCTGTTCTCTTCTGGTGCATTATGCCACTTTATATTGTCATTTTAACACAGTAAGGAATGATTAGTTATTTTTCTTGATATCTCTGTCTGTGGTGGGTGTTCTCTCCTCCCCGCCCCACTCCAGTTAGCATACCAGAGTAACAGAACAGAAAACTCTTTAAATATGCCTATTATTGTGGATGACAGGCAGTATTGACAAAGATTTGGTTTAGGAGACAATTAAACATTTGTGAGAAGCAACCTGATGTTAGAAATGATATTAGCCTTTGATGAATGCTGATAGTCCACTTGTTATTTTTTCAAATATATGTTGAACCCTGCTATATACCAGGCACTATGCTAAGTACAGATAGATACTGGGAAATAAAACATGGTCCTTGCCCACATTGGATTAAACATGTAATTAACCCAATACAAAGAGGTGCCAAGTGATAATGAAGAAAAATAATGGTATTATGAGGGAGGAGAACTGAGGAGGATGTTTTAGATGCTTGGTTATCTCAGAGAAGACTCCATGTAAGCTAAGAGCTGGAAGCCTTCTGGGCCCACTCCAGCTTGAAAAAAGGGCCAACCTTTGCAAAGACCTCAAGGTAAGTTTGAAGGAAGAAGTCCCAGCTGCATTCACAAACAATGAATGTCCTGAATGCTGTGTATCAGCCACTGTTGGGTGCTAAGGATACAGGGTCAGTATTGCAGACAAGAGCCTGGGTCACATGAGGCTTCCAAAATAGCAGGGGAGAGGCACATGGAAAGTGACTAGTAGAATACAATGTGCTACTTTTAAGACTGAGAATTTCCAAGTGCCACAGTAGCACTTAGGAATAGTATTTCATCCAGAATTTTGAGGTCACAGAAGTGGCAGTCCAAGATTTGAAGAAAATGCCACATATTTTCAGATGTCTGTAGGGTATCTGTGTTGGCTGATTGAAAGAGGTGAGGAAGAAGAAAGAGATAAGAACCAGTCCAGGAATAAAAGGCAGGATGTGTAATGGATTTCAAGCAAGAGAAACCCTCTGAATTCTGTGTGGCTAGACCTTAGAGCATGATCGGAGTTGCTAGAGTCTGAAAGGACTTTGATAGCTGCTGCTTCAGGGGATTTGGGCTTTATCCAGCAGGTGTTGGGGGATCCATTAGAAGTTTTAAACAAGAGAAAGACCCAATGAGATTTATTTTTTAAAGATGACTTTGTCTTCCATGTGGTGAATGGATGAGAGGGTATAAGCCCAGAGCATTGAAACTGGTTAGGAGGTTGCTCTGGCAATTCAGGCATCTCGCCTGGCATGGAGGGTGGTGGATATGGAAAAAGGGATGGATCTGAGAGCTGTTACAGAAACTGGAATCTCACCTTGGCAGCTAGTTAGGATGATGGCACCTTTGAGTTAGGGGACCTAGAGGGGAAAATAAGTTTTTCTTTTTTGTTTGGATGTGCAAGTGGAGATATTCAGTAATAGTTGGATTTAAAGAACAAGAGATTTGAATGTGGTCCGCATATAGATGGTCCTGGGAGGTGATGCTTTTACCGAAGAGGATGCAAAAAGAAAAAAAAAACAATCCTGAAAGTGATATTTACTAGGCTGATAGAAGAGAAACCTGCAAAGGAACAGAAGAAGGGGTATTCACAGGGCTAGGAGGGAAATAGGAGGGTATAATATTGCCAAAGCAAAGAGGAAAGGAATGATTGGCAAGGGTTTTAAAAGAAGAGTAAAACACAGAGGTGTTCTTTAGCTTTAGCACTGAGGCCGATGGTGTTGGCTCACACAGAGGCAGTGGCCTGAGATGCCAAATAGATTTTATAAAATAAGGCAGAATGATACTTAATAAAGTTTCCAGGAGTCCATAAAGTAACATGAGAACAGTCCTTGCACAGAGGGAAGTCCAACAAAAGATGTCATAATTATTTATAATACTTATAGCACAGTTTTGTCATGAATTAGAGTACTTTCTAACTGTCTCTTCTTTTCTAGTTTTGGTTTTTAGGAAAACCTCAATATTTCTTTGATTCCACATCAAAATTCCTATTAGTGTCACTATTTTGTAGCTTTAGCAAGTGAAAATGACATCAAATGGTATACATAATGGTATTTAGAAGGCTTTACGTATTTGTCAATTGAATCTACCCTGGTAGTCAGGACTCTAAACCTTGACTGCCTGTCAGAATCCACTTGGTGGTTTTAAAAACTACCAATTTCTGTCCTCCACCCCATTTCTACCAAGTACATTAGTTAGAACCTCTAGCAGTAGAGTCCGGGCATCAGTATTTTTTAAAGATTTCAGATGATCCATGTGTAGCTAGAGTTAATCAATGTACCAGATGCTATACAAGGGACTGGGAATACAGTGGTGAGCAAGACTGACATGGTCTCTGACCTGTTGGATCTTATAGCCCAGTGGGATAGATATACATTTTAAAAAGTCATGTGAGTATTTATTACATAAATATAATTGTGAAAAGTGTTATGAAGTGGGAAGTACAAAATTCTTCTCCACACTAGTAAGGGGGAGGTCCATGGAAGTTTTCTCAAGGAGGTGGTATTTCCATTGAAACTAAATGACAGAGACCAATTATCCAGATAATTGGAGAAGGAGTAGTCTAGAAACCCAGTAGGTTTTCAGTAAATGTCACCTCATTCCCAACTCTTTTAATATGGTGATGATATGCTCCAGATAACAAATAAGATACATGATCTGATAAAGGATTTTCCTATTTAGCTTATAAGAAACAATCTGACTGTATAATTTGATTATGAAAATATTTGAGGTTTTGGGATGTGTATATATTTTGAGGGCAACATAGAAACTAATTCAGGTTGGAAATTGCATGTATCTTATTGTCACATCCATACCTGAAATATCTGATAACCATTATTATATTCCTAAAGGTCTGAATTTTTCTTGAAGATAAATGGAGAGATATTTACCTAATGGGTTTTTTTCCATTATTTTGATGTTATGTTTTGCTGTATGTATTCATCTAGAACTGCTTATGATCAGTATTTCTGGGGGGAAAAATGAAAATAGCTTATATGTAACTGGAGACCTACTTTTAAAATTTATTCTGCCAAGCTTGTCACAAAACTTGCTCATCACTTGTAAAATAGTTAGAAGAATGTACAGTAAATCCATTTGTTAGTGACAAGCTCCTAAAGTTATTTTCTTAAGTTGGTCTTTTGATTAGGAAGTAAAAAACAATTTATAGCCCTTTGAACTTACTCTACAGAGTTTGATGACAAGACAATGTAAATTCCCTAAATTCATTAGTCAGGTGTTTGTAGGTTATATTTTTATTTTCATTGACATTCAGCGGAACATGCTTACCGGTGTCCTTTTTTTCTTTTTGTCAGCAGACATTACCAATATAAACAACATGGGTAATCATAACATATAGGAGCTTTTTAATTGGAAGATTGGTATGCTGTTTTGTGCTCGCATCAGTTTTTTTACATACTTAAAAGCAGAAAGGGTAATATAATAACCTCCCATGTTTCAGCAATTATCCACTCATTGCCAAGCGTATCTATAGTCTCATTTGTTTTTACCCCACCCCTCGCCCTGTATTATTTTTGAAGCAGGTCACATCATCATTTATACTTATTTCAGTATGTAATTTTAAAAGATAAATATGTTTTATCTTTTAAAATTATCTTTTCTTAAACTTATCTTTTAAAAAAGATAAATAAAAACTAACTGTGCCCTGGCCACTGTTGGTTAGAGCATTGTCCTGTAAACTGAAGGGTTGTGGGTTCAGTTCCTGGTTGGTGCACATGCCTAGGTTGTGGGTTCAGTCTGGTCAGGGATGCTTATAATGGGTAGCTGATCAATGTTTCTCTCCCCTTCTCTCTCTTCCTCCTTCCCTTTCCCTCTCTCTAAATAAATAGGTATGTCTCAAGTGAGGATAAAAAGTAAATAAAGTTAAATCACAACCCATGTCTATTAAAAATAGCTTCAACCAAAGCACCATTATCATTGCCTAAAATATTATGAATGAATTTTTTATAATATCAAATATTCAATTAATTTTCAATTTTGAAGATAGTTTAGTATCTTCAGGATTTCGATACATTAATACCATGGCTTTTTAACTTCCTATAACAGTGCAAAGGCACATGATATAAAATCTGGCATTGAAGTAGACAGAACATGTGTTTCCTAGAATGGAAGAATTTGCTATGTATAAAATATGGTTGACCCTGGCTACTTTGCACTTAGATATTTTTCTGACTGTCATCATTAATGCATGTATATGTCATTGGTTACATGTTAGTTATTTAATTTACATTTATCTACATTTATATAGGTAATGTAATTATACTATGTGGTATAGACATATGTGTGTATGTATAAGTATATGCAAATATTATTTACCTTAATTATAAGTTTGCTGGGAATAAGCACAATTTTTATTTCATGTAGTCTACAATGAGTTTTTCATGATAGACTCATAAGTGATATTTATGAGTACTCTAATTATGTTGTATCTAATATAAATATAAGGTAATATGGGGAAAAGACTCCTAAATATCTTTTGAACTTTCTATTGGACATCCTCTCATAATTATGACCTTTTGTATATGGAAGAAACCTGGGTGATTGTCTGCTACCAACAGATGTTTAATAGATGACTTTAAATCCATTTTGCATGTGAGGAAGGTATCTCAAGAGAAGCCAGGTAACAACTCAGCTTCTCCATGTCCTGAGGAGTGGCAGAACTAGTGAGTGGTTCAGATTTCTCTCCATCCCACCAGGGTGCACTCCCTCTGAATCAGGGAGGAAAGACAGGAAGTTCTATAAGACCTCTCTGTATTCTATTGTTGGAGCAAGTATTTCCATCAAACAGGATTTTTGAATATGATGAACATAATGATGACGTTGTCTGTATTTCCTCTAGTACTTTGTTATAAAGCTTCATTGTTTTTATTCAGATATACCCAGGAACCTATTTTTAAAAGGAAAGATAGTTGCATTTTAAATGTAAAGAATGAGTTGTAAATTATTGTG